TATTTATCCACAGAGTTGATGTGGTCAGTAAAATGTTGGACTTCCTGAGATTTGATTTTAACCCAGGTGTCGTCAACATACCTGAACCAATGACTTGGTGGTGTCCCTGAAAAGGACGTCAAGGCTCTCTTTTCTACCTCCTCCATGTACAGGTTGGCAACAATAGGAGAAACTGGAGACCCCATAGCACACCCATGTTTCTGCCTATAATATTGCTCCCCATATGTGAAGTAGGTTGACTGCAGGCACAGTTTCAAGAGTTGACACAGTTGTTCTGTGGAAAGCGTGGTCCTGCTGCTCAGAGTGGTGTCTGATTTTAATTTTAAACTGACCACCTCTACTGCATCATCAACAGGAATGCACGTAAAGAGTGATGTGACATCAAAAGAGACCATTGTTTCATCAGTCTCCATGATGACATCCCTCACCTTGTCCACAAAGTCCATGGTGTTCTGTATGTGGTGTTCTGAGCTGCCAACTATGAATGTCCAGAGGACCAGATTTAACTTTTTTAGATTTTTCTACCTGGATTATTGAGCATGCATCAGGATATTTTGTTGTTGTAGTTCTTAATATTTACCAGCAGGGGGCAGCAGACAACTCTCACCTGGTTAATGTTTTCTAAGGAGCTCAAATTTGACAATTCACAGCAGAACTAAACAAAAACAAATGTTTTAAATTTTTCTTCTTCTCCTCAGACAAAAACTGAAACATTTTATGTCACATTTAATATTTCATAAAATAAATAAAAACCGTAAAACATCAGTCAACTCTGCGGGTTTATGACTGGCTGTGCTCCTGCAGGCAGGCCCTGCTCTCCTCCTCTCTCCTCCCTCCTCTCTCAGAGCTGCTGGACGACTCCTCTTCCTCCTGCAGGAGGAACGTGCTCCTGGTGCTGAACAGCCTGGCCCAGCTGCCTGCAGGTGAAAACACAAACTGGACTTTACCCTTTTTCTCTTCAGGAGCTTAAAATCTCACGTTTGTCTCTTTTTGTTTTTTCAGGAGCCCACGCTCTCCTGCCTCTGGTCCCCAAACTGATGCTGAAGCTCAGACAGGAGGAGGAGGTGGAGGAAGAGGAGGTGCTGCTCCTCTCCACCCTCAGCTACTGCTCCCAGGTCAACCCCCTGCCAGCTCTGGCTTCAAACGGAGTCCCTCTTCTGGGCCACAAACTGACCCACAGCTCCCCTAACATCCGCAGAGAGGCCGCTGCAGCCATGATGGCCCTAAGGTTCTGCTGCGTGTGTGTGTGTGTGTGTGTGTGTGTGTGTGTGTGTGTGTGTGTGTG